AAGAAGAAGAAGAAGAAGAAGAAGAAGAAGAAGAAGAAGAAGAAGAAGAAGAAGAAGAAGACCGACCGTCCAGGGATAAACACATTTTTAATTAATTAAGAGAGGCTGCTTAGACAAGCTAGATCTTCCTATTAACTCTCATGAGCTGCGAGGTAACAAACTTTCTGCTCTAACCCCAATCAAATTGTTATTTCCCCCTTTTGTTTTAGCTAGGCACCCTGTATCTGCCAGACACTTGGCAATCTAGCTAACATCCATGAATATATAATTTCCTTTGCCAATATGTAAACTAAGCCACGGGGGGGGGGGGGGGGAGATATGTTGATGGGCTGTAAAACGTGCCCAACGAAAGCATCCCCTTTGTGAGTCACATCCATGGACTACCTACCTCGCCACAATCTGGACTCACCGTGGTGCTCTGAGGGGTTGATTCTCCAACGCTGTCAGTATAGGGACCATTTTAATAAATCTTTATTAACTGTGAGCATCCTGGTGTCTGACCTAGTGTTCCCCTTTTTGGTATCCAACCCGCAACTGCACCAGCCAACAACACATACACATACCAGTGACAAGGAATTCTGCACAACTCTCTCATTATCACTGCGCACCCCCCCACACACAATATTCCTATTCCATTCACTCTGTTGTCATTGATTACTGTACTGTATTCTGCAACAGCTTAGCCTGCACTGTTCAGAAACTTTTATATTAGAAATGAATACAATTTAGATCTCCAGTTCTTCCTTCTTTCCTTCCCTTATTTACAGCTAGATCTAAAATTGTAGCTGGCAGGCAGAAGAAGTGCAAAATGCTGGCCCGGGGGGGGGGGGGGGGGCAATAATTTATATCCCTATACAATGGAACAGTCTTATAAATTCAGATTTAGCAATGAAGCTTTCTGGAAGGCTTTGGACCTGTCTGCAGCTCAGCCTAACCTGCTTCACAGGGGTCATTACTGCAGGGTTGGGAAAAGCTGCCCTAAAATATTGTCCTAGAACGTCCCCAGAATTCCTATTGCTGCAATGTCTACAATGGTTATGAATGGAGAAACGAATATTTTGGGGAGGGGCAGTTTGAAAGGGCAAACAATCAGAGTAAATATGAGTATATACTATAACTAGCGATAAGCTCACCAAATACTGTAATGGGTGTGCAACCTTAATAAAGACTTTTGTTTCATTCTGAGGAGGCCGCTGTCTGCTTCAGAGAACCCAACTGGAGCTGCAATGCCCCAATTTTCTCAAGGTTTATTTAAAGATCTACGTTCCCCCAAGAAAAAAAAACAAGAGAGGAAAAGCACAGGCCTGGGAACTTACACCCACAGTTCCTAAAGAGACCACCATGGCTTGTTTGAATGTAGTAAAGATGTTAAATACAGAAATAAACTTTGCATAGAGGACAAGACACTAGAGGTTGCACTCTCAATTACTGAGCGCTGGTGGTATTGTTTCTCTCCTTTTTCTCTTCTCCCTTGGGGCAACCGTTCAGCTCTCAGGGGAGTTTGATGAAGAATTCACGCTTCAGAGCCGTCCCTTTTGCTAAAACTGCTACTGGTCCGACCACTTCTGTAGAACTGTCTGAGCCTCATTTCATCTAGCTGGTTGGAAGGAGACCATGGCCCCCGTTCTGTGCTACCTGCTTCTCCTAGGGCTGACCTGCTGGACAGCAGCCACTGAAACATCCAAGGAAACCCTGCAGGTGGTCCAAGTCGCAGGTAGGTCTTGTAGATGGCTGAGGATGGTAGAAGACTGGGAGATTAGTTGAAAACAGATTTCAGATTTACCGGTAGGTATACTATGGGAAAGTCATCAATGTAGTAATATAATGTTAGAGAAACAATGAGGGTCTCTGACCATTGGCAGAGTATCTTTTTTGCATCATGGCCAGTCCCCAAACCAAGTATCCAAGGCTTGCAAGTAGCAAGCTTCAGATCAAAAAGCATCATTCATAACTAGATTAATTTGCTTTTCTTATCTCTCCCCATATCCTTTTCTCCTTTATGTCATGTACTTTAGATGCACCATCTAGACTGTTCTCAGTAAGCATTATTTTAGCCATTTTCAGAAACTTTTGAGATCTGAAATTTAATTCTGGAAGCCATTAGACACTGCTAAACGTAGGGATAAAAAAACAAACAGAAACCCAGCATCAGTTTAGATATTATCTATTGATTTTTAAAAGCTATGCACATTGCTCTGTCATTTTATCCCTATTTTAAATTGCTGACTTCATTTAATCTATTTTAAGGATTTGCTGCTTTTTAAAAAAGCATGCAGCTATATTTTAAAAAGTTTGAAAACTGCATGAAAGGTTTGACTGAAAAAATCCTTTTAAAATTGGTAGAGGCAAACACTTCAATAGTTCTTAAGGTTTTGTTTTGTTTCGTTTTAAAAGAATCATTCTTTTTATTTGACTTGTTGAACACTTTTACTTGGTGGAAAAGTGATCTATAAACACTGATCAGAAAAAAAAACTTCTAGAAAGAAATGAAAGTTTTAATAACTCTCTCTCACATCACAGAATCCCAGAAAGTTTTTTTCTCCTGCATGCTGGATCATGCACTGGCTTCAAGTGACTTAGATCTGCTCTGGCTCGGTCCAAGAGGGAAGGAATTGCTGTATGTAAATGTGAGGCATCACCACCCAGAGGCGAGTCTGAACACTCTGTGGGGCTTGTCGATCTGCAGGACCTTCTTGCAAAATACCACTTGGTTTACCTGCAAATGGAATGGCATGTCAGGAAAACCCCATGTGCTCCCAAACAGGACCAGTAAGTGTAATTCTGAAAGCTTTCAATGATAAACAAAAAGTTGTAACAAAATTGGCTGTTTTCCCTAGCTCCCTCCATCCCTCACTTTGAAATGAAACTTCAACCAACCCCAGCCACATTGACACTGTTGGCTGGGGGCTGACTGGAATTATAGTCCAGAACATCTGCCAAGAACCCATTTGAGAAGGCTGCTGTAGAAACAGTGGGTAGGAAATTCATCTTCATATCATTTTTCATTTTGCATTCAAAATTATATATATTGTTTATGGTGCATAAATCCAGGATAAAAAGAATCTAGGTTGGGCAACGTAGCAGGTAACAATATTGCCTTCAAATTTTTATGGTCACTGGTATCCAGAAAATGTGGCAGATATTCCACTACAGAAGAAACAAGAGGAAGAAGACCCAGCATGATATGGTAGCTAAGATGATTGACTATATCTCTGGAAACAATTTCATCAGTCAAAAAGTGATGGAACGTAATGTCTAATAAAAGATTTGACCCCTTTTCCCATGCTAAATTGACTTTATGGGGAAACCCAATTTTTGAAACTGGGAAAAAGCACAGAAAAATGGATGGAGGCAGAGATGTTGACTTTGGACCAACTGATAGATGATGAAGATGAATTTTTAACATATGCTGTGTTAAGAGATAAATATCATCTACCAGATGTAACCCAATGGCAATATTTACAGCTACAACATTTGCTAACAACATTGTTTGGACCAGCAGCATTTTCAGCTTCTGAGACACCTGAGATACCAGAACTTGTTAAATCCTTTAAAACTACAAAAAGTATTAGTTTTTATAGATATTTGCTATCAATAAATCAATTTGATATGCAGATATTAAGAAATGAATGGAATAAAGAATTAGAGGTTCTCATATTGCCTAGACAATGGGAGAGTGTCTTAACTTCTATAGCAAGAGTGTCAATGGCCTTCAAACTACGACTTATACAACAAAAAGTAACATTTAGAATGTATTAGGCTCCACTTTGTATAAAAAAGGACTAAGACTGCATTCAGTTGGAGATGTAATAAGGATAATGTTTCTTTAAAACACATGTTTTTACAATGTCTGATACTTACTTGGTTTGGGAGAAAGTAGTGGACTATATAAATATGATTGTGCAACAAAAACTAAAATTTTCGCAAGATAATATTCTCTTGAATTACATACATATTACATGGCATTTGACAACTGAACAATGCAAATGGATTCTCTGTGCCCTTACTATGACCAAAAGACTAATATTGCAGTGTTGGAAAGATAAATGTAAAGCCCCATTTACTCAATGGATTGAAAACCTACTTATACTTGCCACCTATGTGCGGATTGCCTATGGACATAGACTTTGTATGGACAAGTATAATGAAATATGGGACTCATTTATACAAAATATATTAGGCTGAAAAAAAATAATAGTTATAGTATATAAATGTATTAGAAATAAATATATATGCACTTGAATAATACTTATATTAGATAAGTATATAGAGAGAGAGAGACAGAGAGAGAATTGTAACTGTAAACTGTTATAATGATATATACTTTGTTTCTCTTTTTTCACTTTTTTTAAAGCACTTTTTATGTGTTTTTTTTCTTGAGAAAGTATGTATTTGCATTGTAATTTTCTTTGTGTTTTGCTCTTTTTCTTTTTCTGTCACTATTCAATTTAAAAAAATTAATAAAAAAAGATGATTGACTAGGATCAAGGATTCAAGTCCCCCTCAGTCACCTAAGCTAACCTGGGGCCAATCAGTCTCTCTTCCTACCCAGCCCAGCCCTATCTCCCAGGGTTGTTTTTAATGGGGAAACCTTGAATGTATATGTATGCCATCTCCTAGAGGTAAGGTGGTATATAAATTTAACAATAAACAAATAAATGCATATGGAAGAAGAAGAGTAGCTGTGATAATTGCTTAGATGCATAATTTCCTGTAATTGTTATGGCCAATACCCTGCCCAAACTAATAATATATCCCATAATACTTTGCACTTCAGTCTACAAAGTAGAATCTTCAAGTCCTTTGTTTGATTGTGGATGATTATAGGATAAAGTGAACATTATAGTCCAACTTATCTCTAGGGGACCAGTTTAGGGGAAATAATTATAGGCATAGAAGAGAAAGATATGGGACTGGGAAAAAGGTAATTCTCTGGGCTGAAAAAAAGAGTGGGTCAAGCTAATAATAATAATAATAATAATAATAATGATAATAATAATAATTCATTACATGTATATGCCACCCACCTCCTAGCAACTCTGGGTGGTTTACCTGAGGCTGTTTTTTTCAGGTGGAGACGACTCTGACAACAACCAAGTGGAAATGGAAGAATATGAGAAAAAAGGCTATGAAGATGATGGTGGTAATTTTTCAGGTGGATATAGCTCTTTCCCTTATGTGCTATCCTATGAGGTCCCATCAGAGTTGACTTCCATGTTTCACTGGGAAATGGGGGTGGGCTAATCTTTCTATTAGCTTATGGAAGGCTTCTTCCTCTTACAGGCAAGGCAATGACTAAAATGAATGGGGGAGGAGTATAGATTTTTATGGGGTTGGAAAGAGTGAGGGAATTTTACATGAGTTAATCTTTGGTAGGATGTAGGTTGTAATCCACCAGTCTAGGTGATGGTTGCTTTTCTTCAACCAATATCCTTTAGCTGGGTTGGATTATAGCTTCTAGCATCTGTAACATGAATTGATGGGAGTTGTATTTGAACATGTGGACAGAAGAAGAAGGTTAGAAGATGAAAGATAATTCCCTTGGTTACTGAAGAGTGATGAGCAATGGGCAGGAACTGGGTAGTAATTGGCATCTGTGAGTAGAAGAGGCATTATCTAAGTGGAGAAATAGGGCTATCATCTCTAGACTGCAAAAATATGGATAAATTCAGTGAATGGTGATAATTTTCAGGGTTGTTTTTTTTTTTTTTGGTGGCTTGTAGTGTGCTCCACATTTTTGCAGCCAAAATAAAATACCCCTAAGGGTTGGCTAGGGTTTCTGTAACATGAAGGCGACGTGGGATGTACAGGACTACACTGGAATGAACCATGCAAATCTTAAAAATTGAAAATTAATATTGCTTCTTTAAAACAGAATAATTACTCCTTAAATTTCAGAACTTTCTGAAGTGTGGTCAAAACGTATCTTGCTTTAGCATTTAAAATGTCTTTAAATTTCATAAGTAAAATTAAGCAAAAATTGTTTTTCAGCTCAATTTATTATTACTAACCTTTCTTATGTAGGACACCAGGAAAACTTAACTAATTCAGCAATGGATCCCGAATATTTTCCTTGTGATGCCCCAGTGCAGGGAAATTGGACACAGGGGACACTGCTCTGGATTCAGCATGATTCACCGGACCAAAATATGGTTCTGATTAATATGACAATACGGCGCTCCGTTCACTGCTCAGTGGATGTGAATGACAGTTTCGTTTCTTTGATCCTTCCATCAGTAACCTTTGAAGATGCTGGGAACTATTCCTGCCAGTGGAAAAATCAGACATGCCATTTTCAGCTAGAGGTGATAGCAAAGACAGGTACGGCTCCAGATGAAGGGGTGGGAAAGGGAAGGCTGTGTTTGGATATAAATATGTGTAAGTTCAGAAATGCCATTAGGTTTTTAAAATCCAAACCTATCATTTCCAATTTGAAAAAAAAAGTTGCTTTTGAAAAATTCATATTATAACCCAATAACATCTATCTATAGAAACAATAATCTAGATCTGTGCTTCTCAACCTTTTTTCACCTGTGGCTACCTGCCAACCTTGTTTTTCTCCTGTGGTGCCCTCCACCCACCCCCCATCTAGGTCCCATTACCAGATAGGGACATAGGACAGTAACTGGTGTGTTTTCTGGCATCGACAAAACAGTATTTGCAGTATAATACAGTTTGCTTTTCTGTGGCCCCTCGGCACAACCTGTGGCCCCCAGGTACATGTTTTTCACCAGTGACCCCCTTGGAATATCCTAGGGCCCTCAGGGGGCCATATGGCCCCTGGTTGAAAACCACTGATCTAGATCTAAACACAGGGTTATGGGTAATCTATGTGATAAAGACTATCTCCATGTGGCAGCCCATTAGGTAGACCAGAGCAGGAAAGCAACTCCACAGGAAGGCTAACACTACTTTTATTGAGAATCTTGCAAATCTGGTTGTATCTCCCCCACCTCCACCCTTGTTATACTCAAGTGAATTAGGGAGGCATCTGCTTGAGCTGTTTCCAAATGTTATCTCATTCTGGACTTTAAAAATGATTCAACCTTTTGCCTAGTAAACGGTTCCTGCACACCTCTGTCACGGTTATCTGCCTTTCCTCCATATACCAGGTTCTGCAATGAGAAAAGTCATGTTCTCCAATATGAATATTTGTTGCCTTATTGTGCAGACAGGTAACAAGCTATGAATGCCATTGTAGCTGGAACCGGTGTTCTGTGCCTGGATTTATCACTCACATCTAGCATTTCATCAGGCACTGAAAGACTGATAAGAGCTTTTCAGCCCTGAACCCAGGAAACTTGGTTGTAAAAATGAAAATCTAAAATGCTCAATGCCTAATGTGTATTTATACTGTGCAGGTGTAGAATGAAAACATGCTGAGAATTTTGATGGGCAACCGATTCAATGGATATTAGATTTTTTAAAAAAACAGTCATATTTAATACAAGTGCTTATTAAAAACTGGAAATGGTACAGTAGGCCCTGTCATACAAAGGCATCTTCTTTTCAAATAGGAGGGAATGCAAACTGATTTAGCTTCAAGCATATTTATTTGGTCTTTTATTTCTTGTTTGCTGCGGTTATTGTTTACTATTTGCCAGTGTTACTGATTTATTATTTACAACATGTGTGCATTATCTATAGAGAAAAAGAGAAACCCTGCTTCTTGCTTTAGAAATATCTTTGAACTGCAACCTTAATAAGGCCTAATTGCATCTTTTCCTCCCTCCCTCTCTCCTCCCCCCCATTAAAAGTTGTTTTCCATTGGATGATTTGGTCTGTAGCACTGGGATATATATTTGTCTGCCTCAGCTCCCTGGCTTGCTTTCTGTGGCTCCGGCAAGGTACGTACCCTCAAATATAGATTAATCAGAGAAAGGTATGGTCAGATATTTCCTGTGATTTATTCTGCTACCTTCGATAGGTTAAATCTAATTCTTCCAATACAGTCAGGGACAATATTTCTTCCCATTGGGTTACTGCCTTTTAAAGCAACATGGCTTGTGAGAATGCCTCTATGAGACCTCCCTGCTCACTCGAATTTGACAATGTTTCACTCAATTCCATAGTCCCGTTCATGACTTGGGAATAACTCTCTGGTAAGCTGAGGATCCCAACAGGCCTTTGGACTCTTGATTTTAATGGTTGTTTTAAACGTTTTTAATATCCCAGGCTTTAATTCTGATTTGATGTTTTATTGCAGACTTCTGAGAGACCCCAGTAAATGGTGATATTATAGGCTGAATAAAATAAATAAATGAAGGAATGACCTTGTATTAACTTTATAGGCAATATAGACTCTGAGGGTTCCTTTATTGATGACAACTATCTCATCTGTTTCCAAGAGATAATTAGGGACTAGAGATCAAAGGTGAAATGTATCTTAAATGAAATCCATTCCCTCCTTTTTGGTCTTTGCTGGCCTGCAATTACTAATTTTTGAAATCTCTGTTGTCCATTCACTTTTTACTAATAGCATACACAACCCCTTCTATCTCTGTTCTTACTGTTTCCCCCAAATGAACTGACCCCCCCCCAGTTTATTATTTATCAACCAGCAAATATTGATAGTTTCCTCTGAGCAGATTTATAGTATTCCTTGAGAGTAGCAGGGTGGTCAATAAGAATACCAAGTAGCAAAGGAGCTCTCATGAGCCACCCAAAATGATCAATCCAACCTGCATTATTTATCTACTTTTTAAAAATTGGTTTAAATTATAGACATAATGGGGGAGGTAGGCCACAGAGGAGAACGCTTAAGAGCCAATTTAATGTCCCAAAGTAGAAATGAATTCCATTTATGTGGCCCAAAATAGGATAGATCCCTTTTTTCAGGGCAAACTGTATCAAGGTTTGTGTATGTATATTTGTGTTTGAGAAAGATAATTATTGGAGAACAAATGGATGAATGGGATGGGGAGGTAGTTTTAAGCTACTTTGACTCTCTGGACGTTGCATGCTGTCACTCAATTTATTTTTTCTGAGATATGAAACCTTCAGGTAAATTTTTCCCTCTTTGATATACCAGTGCAGTGTTTCTCAACTCAGCGACTTTAAGATATGTGGATTGAACACTGAGAATTCCCCAGCCACCATGGCTGGCTGGGGAATTCCAGGAATTGAAGTCCACATAACTTAAAATTGCCAAGGTTGAAAAACACTGCATTAGTGTGTCAGAATTGCTGCAGTGGAGAGAATCCCTTACATGAAGTGCTGTCTGTCAACCTTTCTTGTTTCAGTTATCCGAGCTCATAGACAACAGATGAAGTTAATGAGTCCTGCCAGAAGGCAAGTACTTAGGATATAACAGAGTGCAAGAAAGTAGTGGGAGTTGTGCGCCAAATTTGGTAAACCATGTATAAGGGAAGGTTGTGGACTCTACAAGATAGGCCTGGCAAAAGGAGGGAATAGGTAGGGTGGGGGAATAGGTGGGGTAGTAAGTGGGGAGATTCCAGAAGTTTTGCATACTTGAAATTCTAAGGCATAAGGGCTTTAAGCTGTATCTGGCCCCTGAAAATTTGGCATGCAGCCACCAGAAAAAAATCAAAAGTTTTTATCAGATTAGAATTTTTAGCATGACAGGAGGAGGAAATGATTAAATACATGCCCAGATAATCTGTATGTCCTTTTAATTAAATTAAATTAAATTAAATTAAGGCCCTCAATTTAAATGAGATTAAATTCAGCTGTTGGCCTTGCTCATCCCCTCTTTTTTGGAATGTCATGCTCCTAGCATGGTACCCAAGTTCAAATCTGGTCCTCAGCCCAGAATAAGGTATGGGTCTCTGCCCCAGATCAGCCTTCCCCAATCTGGCGGCTTCCAATTTTCTGAGGGAACAGTTGCCAGGTATGGCTCCCCTTTGATTGCTCTGGTGCAAGGTGGCTTCCCTGTCCAGTACATTTTTAAAATTCAATTATGTCTACTGACTGGGATTCCTTAACTTTATAAATCCCATTGATGCAGTTAGATAATTTTAGGTTCTGGATTAAATGGTTTAATGAGGGTTGGGAAAGGGGAGACATTTCTAGATTGGTACTATGTGTTTCTCAACTCCCTGCTGCATTTGGGGACCCAATAAAGACCCTAGGTATTTTCCATGAGCTCCTGCCCTAATGGCCCAAGTGATTATTGTCACCAGATACAGTATTCAAGTGGACTATTTGGAGCCCATGTGTTATAACCCCAATTGTCCTCCAAAAACAGCTCATACTGTTGAGCATCTGATGTCCAAAAGGGAAAGCTTCCTTCACCTTTGTGCCCTGAGAAAGCAGCTTGTATTCAACTTACATCTTGATGTCAATCATATTTATGGGTCTATCATTTCCAGAAGATACTTTTATGCTAAACGGAACAAGAGATATACCTCCAGTAGGACTGTGGTATCCCCAGCAAATGATGATGGTGAGTTAATTAGGACCTTTCTCCATTCAGAAAACTCTTCCTCATGGACAGGTTAATATGCATTTTTGCACTACTTGAATTGGCAGAAAAGTATGCTAGTGAAAATTGCCTCAGGAATGAGGCAAAACATTGGTGTTGTCCTTACAGATTTAATTCGACAAGTTAAGGAAAATAATTGGTGGATTCCTCTGGCTTCCTTTCCATTCTCACCAAGCATGACCTACGATACCAGCCGGTAAATCATCTTCCTAACATGATCTTGGGCTGGAACTGGAGAGAGGCAAGTTTTGGCACGTAATAAAATATGCTCTGGTTTTGTGCAGGTATACTGTGTGGTACGCAAAACCCTTTTGGGCATAAGTTTAGCATTATTCTGGATTAGTGTTGTTCTAAAAGAGTATTATTCTGGAAGCTGTTTTCCTATTCTGGAACAGTGCTAAACTCATAAGGAGCTTGAAACACACCAATTATGGGGAAAGATTGCAAGATGAAATGGGAAAGAGCTCTCCATTGCACCAAGCAATGTCCCTCTTGCACATGTCAGCTCTATTTAGAGGAGTAAATCAGTGAGCAAAATAACATTTTGAGAAGGGGAATTCTTTGGCTACAACCAAGGAAATTGTGTTAGAACAGGATGAAATGCCAGACCCAGCCACCATCTTAGTATTCCCTTATTTGTGTGTATGCACACATGCTGTTTCCCCATCCACTGATGTACTGTAGTTTTCTTGATGCCATATTGAAAATTTAAGAGAGGCAACCTTGCTATGAAGCTGTCCAGGGCTTCTCTGTTGAAGCTATGGGTAGCCTTAACTATGGAGCTTCTGCTGCACAGCTGCTTTCACACTACTTCCCTTCCCTGAAGGAAGGAAAGCAGGGAGAAATGGCTTTATAATTGGCACTCTGTGGGCGGAAGTGAGTCCTGGGCGCTGGGAAAATTGGCATCCATTTTCCCTTGTTCTTTCCCCCCTAGTCCCCCTGCTGCCTAAGAGAATGGCCCCTTTGCTGTGACTTCTCAAACCCCACAGAGCAATCATTCCAGGCAGTCGGAGAACTGACAGCAAATGACTTGTGGGTCTTCAACTGCCAGGTACTGGCCCCAAAGGAGGTGTCCGCCCACCTTGCCTCTTTCCTCCCTCTTTCTTCTTGGGCAGACAGAACCCGTTCTTCATGCTGAGTTAGAATAGGGACTGGAAGCGCAGCCAGCAGTTCTTTAACCTAGTATACTTTTCTGCCATCACAAGTCCTGAATGACAGCATTTTACTGCTGCTGTGTTTGGAAGCACCCTGCGTCAACAGCTATAGCATGAATGAGGCAGCCTTCATGCAGCAGGAGTAGTCATTTCTCAAGAGAAGAGGAAAAATGAAACCGGATCAGCTAATTCAGGCTGCCTCTGCACAAGGATGTGTCCTTTGAAAATGATCACTGAGGCATCTTTATGCCAGAGTAAGCAGGATGTACAGACGACCGATCTGAGTTCCTCAAAGAGAAATCAAACCTCATGGTTTGATCTGAGCAGGAACCCATATTTCAACTACTATCCATTCTGCTGCTTTAATACTAAGCTAGGGTGACTTTTTTTCCTGAATTCCCAACACCACCGTCCATCCACCTGCAGCTTTCCACATGATCCAACTTGACGAAGAATTTTAGAGAATCTGAAATTAATTTAGCCTTTTCACGCATTTTGAGTGGTCCTCATCAGTATATAGCTCTGGAATATTCTTATAGACACAACCAGGCATTTTTCTCATGAGCCACAAAGAAGTTGTTTTCCATGAGTATTTGGTTAGATTCTTCATGCTGCTGCAGGTACAGATGCAATTAATATAGCGAGAAGCAAATGCCAAGTCTTGTGGTATCTTGAAAGGGAACAATTTTCTTAATGGCAGAAAAGGAACCATCTTCAAATGATTACGCACTTTATACCTCTATTTGTCTTTCAGATGCTCCTCCTTCAGAAGAGATGATATTTTGATGCAATGTGCTTTTTGTCTCTTAAGTCACAGAGCAAGTTGATGCCTTCTCCTATGAAAACGTGCTGCCAAGTATGCGTGCGCAACGTGGCCAAAGGTTACTGCAGAAAGGGAAAATCTTGCCCAATACCCTCAAGATGGAAGGTTGGTACGAATAAGCAGGGCACAGAATTAGGAATTGTGTGTGCAATCTGTAGCAGGGGAAGTGTCAATAATAAAAATCATAAAAAAGAGCAGAGATTGAATAAGACTGGAGTAATGATAAAACCAAATAATATTATATGATCAGGTAAGGTGCCATGCTAAACATCACATCCTATCTACACCCTATGACTTGCTTTTAAAGATCTGGCCTTGACCCTTCTTGTGGTGTAGTGTCAGATCTGAGGGTGTGAAGCACGCGGCAGGAATCTCCAGCTCTGAAAAAGTAAAAATGCTTTCAGACGTGAGGCTGACCATAGGTAGTTTAGCCACCATTAAGTAGGCAGAATAGGATGCAGTTTTTACAGCACAATCCAAAAGATGGCTTCATAACTCACATTGCATGAACAAGACTAATTTATGTTGTTTAGACACATTCTCAGTGTTCCCAAGCGTTTACTTATGAGTTTCCTGTTATTGCAAAGCAACATTGCAGTCACCATCACCTGTGACAAGTAAGGCTTCCTTAAATGAAAGCAGGATATAAAAAAATGAGCACAGGAAATGGGTAAAGCTGTTAAAGACAGAAGAGGCGACTCCACCTTTCAGTGTGAGGCACCTGTCTTTGCCATTCATAACAAAAGAGCAACACAACGAGACTTTGTACTCTGGGAACACGAGGAATGTTGGTGTAAGTTTCTCGCTCAGAATGTTTCACAATGTGCTCCTTGGAATCACAGGGTTCTTCAAGAACTTGAGGAGGTTCTGTGAGAGACTGATGATAAAAAAAAAAAAAGTTCACCAGAGTACAGCGAGAGGTGTCCATAGCAATTTTTTTAAGGACAACAGAAAGGGCTGGGCTTTTCATCTGATATTCAGAAACCCTACCCCTTCAGGTGGCATTTGTGCTCATAATGACTCTCCCATAAAAAAAAAAAAGAAAAAAAATCAGGGTGGCCATTTTGTGGACTGGGCTTCTCTTTCTCCTTCCCCTTCTTCCAGGCTCTGCAGCTTGACAAGGTTTAACCCCCTACCCCACCCCTGTAATCACTTGCTGGCTGAGGAATTCGGGGAGTTGAAGTTCACACATCTTAAAGTTGCCAAGGTTGAGAAACAGTGATAGAGGATGGTTCTTTAATATGAAAGAGCATTTAACACCATGTTTTTCTTACTTTAGTTCAAAGTGGTGCAATCCAAGAAGCATTTTGCCCCTCGTTTACTCTTTCTGTAGCCCTCAAATGGGCAACCTATGGGGTGCACGTGGGATTTGGCCTATTTTTTCATGGCCTGTATCCTGTTCTCTCTTTCCCTATCAACTGCTTTCCTAGTTTGTGCCCTCTGCAGCTCTTCTTATCAGTTCTCAATGGAAAGTGGGGGTAGAGACAGGTAGACATATTTGGACCTCCATGCGGCAGAAGATCCGTCTAAAGAATCTTTTTTAAGATCCAAGATAATGAGAAGAATGAATGTGTGCGTGTGCTTATTGTGCGAATGGGTGCAAGGGGGTTAGTTTCTGCATGATAAATCATGGTCTGTTGAATAAATCACAATTGGCTGGGTTCAGCAAACACACAGAGTGGCAATTAAGGAAACTACTTTGTAGCTTAGTACTGTATTATGTGAGAATCCAGCCAGGGAGAGAGAGCATTAAGCCTGAAACCCGACCATGCCCATCTGCAAGAGTTCATTCCCAGACTGAGGAGGATTTAGAAGACCTAAAAATTCCTTTGTTATCAATGAGAAGATATGCCAGTTGACTGGTTTGCAGAAAGGTAGTGAAAAAGAAAGAAGTCTCTTCTCTCTGCCCTAGCAAACTTTGGGGATATAGTTGTTTCAGATGGGAAATAGTTCAATGGCTAGAATTCCTGGGACCCCATCTTTTACTTCTCAATAGATTGTGCTAAAGAGAGAAATGTGAAAATTGTGCTTGGAAAGAATTCATTTCAGTTTTAGGCAGGTATCAAAGTGCCTGGCACTGTGGTGGCTGCCAGTCACATCTACTACTATTTTTTTGAGTAGCGGGCCAGTGCCTCAAAACGAGCATTCTCCACCTTAGCAATCATGACCCACTACATCACTTTAGTGAATGAATTAGTGTGTCTCTTCCCATGAATGAAACCAAATAATAAATACACAAATACATAATAAAAGCATTTGTGATTGACAGAGGTTTCTGACAGCTGGCTAGGGTTAGCTGTCTCCCACTTGCAGCTTTGCTCCCTGCTTTGTGCAAGCCTGATGGGTGTCCCTCTGCAAGTTGCTTGAGACTACCCAGGGGGGCATGACCTGGAGCCCGAGAAGCCCTACCTTAGGTCAATCAGAGAATGCCAGTCCAAGAATTGTGCATAACTGTTTCTTCTTTTTCTTCCCACCAGATGAAGAATACGAATGCCCTGATAGTGAAACTGAGCTCAAGTCAGATGGTAAAACGGATCGAGTGGGAATGGGCAGCGTGAGGTGGGAGAGGAAATTATAGGATAACAGTTGGCTCCCAAGCCACAGACCAGTGTTCTCAACCTTGGCCACTTTAAGATGGGTGAACTTCAACTCCCAGAATTCTCCAGGCAGCGTGGCTGGCTGGGGAATTCTGGGAGTTAAAGTCCACCTACCTTAAAGTGGCTAAAGTTGAGAAACACTGCCGTAGACACATTGTGACCACCAAATGTACTGCAGTCAACCGAGAACTCAATCTCTTAATTGAGAGATTAACCTACTTGAAAGATATGGGATTGGATGTGGGGAAGGTTTGATCTTTCCAGGTTGGATTGGTTGGGTTCACCTGCTGCATTCATCATAATATGATTTGATTGTTTGGGGCAATGCACGAATGGGTCAATGAATAAACCATGATTTGCTTTATATTAGTAAATACCATGAAATCTTACTATGCTAAGAGCTTATTGACTGCAATGGTGGTTGGCATCGAATTACCTGGAAGGGAGCCCAAGTGATACACTGAACTAAGAAACTGAATTCATTATCTTATTGTTAAAGGATAATATATGCAGCTACAAGTAAAACCAGAAAACAGAGGAAGCCACAATTCTTGACCAAGCTTAAAATCAGGGCATCATAATAGGATGCGGAAGGGGAAAATGTTAATGAAAGTGAGAAATAAAGCATTTTGGGCTGAGGGTAGAGTGGGTTGAACTAATCTTCTGAATCTTGTTTGGTTTTGCTGCAGATGATAACTATGAAAATACCCAAGAAGAAGTGAAACAGGGAGATGTGGTTTTGAACGGTAAATAATTTCTCTTACAACCTTTGCTTGCTTACTCTCAGCACATAAGATTGCTTCATTGATTTCCCACATACTGTGAAGTAAGAGGATGAACTTTTAAGGGCATCAGCAGATTTTTTTTTTTTTAATCAATATGCTGGCTATGACCATGTGGGGGCAGATGTCCTTCTTGACTTGTTGGACCATCCCCTCCAGATCCCGCTGGACCCTCTTTCTTCAGCAGCTCTTTGAATGAGAACTGTTACCCAGGCAGGAGCTAAACCCTATTTGCTTTGTGGGGAAAGAACAATAATTTTTAACAGTAGCTTAAAAACAAATTGTGAAGGAGAATATTAAACATTCAGTGGTGTGTGTATGGGAGGGGGGGATTCTGAATCCTATATACCAAACTTTCTCAGATGCTTATCCACAACATGCACTCGAGCGTGCTGAAAATCACAGACCAGTCCTTCACAAAATGGTGACAGGTGCAGGTAGAGACAGATTTCATAACTGCCGCCATGGATTTTATCAGGAAGATATCCTTAATGCTATTAAAAAATGCCAGCCTTTTAATCTCTAACCCCTTCTATATGCCTTCAGCCTGTTACCTCTGTCTTCATCTGAATAGAGCAAACAGACAGGGAGCAAGGAGGTTACCCGGCATTTGGGGCAATGCTGAGACTCATTGATGGGTTCAGACCCACAGATTGGAAAACACTGACCTGGATCAATGGATTAATAATGGATTCCTGTTAGAGGGCACTGCATGGGAGTGAACGAGTGACAAGCAAATTGAACCTGAGGGCATGTACTAAGAGGAGGCTGCATTTCAGGAGATAAATGAAGTTGCCATATTTAAACTTTTCAAAAGATGCTCAGGAGAAGGAAGAAGGCATATCTGTATCAGTGTCAACCAATTCACGTTGCATTAATGTTTTAGATATAGTACATGTATCATTACAGTAATACATTTTTAGCATAAACAAGTACAAATGAGTGTACAGTGGAAGAATATAATATACAGTGTATTAAATATTGTCTACACTGAAAATTTATAAATAAGTGTGCAGAAGTGGAGCACAATAATTTCTCTTCTGAATTATAAAAGGAATAAAACCTTTTCCAAATTAAAGGTTCCTTCTACAGACAGTCTCCTCAAGTCCTGTTATGCTGCCTCATTGTGACAGGTGGTGTTCCTAGGAGGGATGAGCAAAACACCCCAGGAATGTAGGCCAGGAATATATACTCTCAACAGTTCTCGCTCAAGAAACAAATGGCCAGGCTTAAATTATTACTGTATATTTTGGATGCATTATGTGAAGACCTAGTGCCCTTGAAAAATCCATAATGCTCAGAAAGGTGGAAGGAAAAAGAAGAGGATGACCAGCTACAATACGGATGAACTTGGTTACAGCAATGATTGGTGCATGGTTAGGTGACTTGAAGGGCCAGATTGGAGACAGATCATCTGGAGAAAGTCTATCTATGTGGTCACTAATAGTTAATACCAACTTGATGGCACTTAATCAAAAAATCTGCACACCAGAGATTCGTTAATCTGAGACTGGCACCACCTTTAGTATCCCTGTGATATCATAGGCTTTCAGCCACCTTGGAAAAATTTTTTTTTTATTAACTTCATGGGTTAATCAGCTTGACTTCTGCCACCTTATTTTGCCTCCAGGAATCCCATCCTTTTCTGGCTCCTTGGCTTTCCCCCCCTAACTACCATTCCCCACTGAGTGTAGGAACAGCTTTGCTACTCCCACAGCAGCAGCTAAATTGGGTTGGTTTGTTTGTGACATACAGAGCAAAGGCAGCAGCCATGTGGAAATGGCCAGAGAAGCTATGGAGTAATAAACAGTGCTTCAAAATTAAAATTCTGTTCTAAGTTGGAATGGTTGAATTGAAGTACAAGCAGGGTTTCAAATTCTTTACTAAAGCTGAAGACCTGTACTCTGGACTGGAGTAATGAGCAACTAACATCTTGACTTAAGAAACCCACTTGCAACTCATCATCCAAACCTAGACACACGGTGCCTTCTGCATGCCTTGTGGCCAGATCTCTCTATCTCTACTATTGGCACTTTCTATATGAGCATACCCCAACCTTGGCAACTTCCAGATCTATGGGCTTCAACTCCCAGAATTCCCAAAACTGGCCATGCACACATCTGAAAGTTGCCAAGGTTGGGAGACTAGTGTCAGTACTAGTGTTGAACAGCAAGGTCTCCAGTTAGATATAGGGTTCGGGATCTATTAAAAGACATACCACAAAAACAGAAAAATAGATAATTAGTTATCACCTACAACTCAAGCTGCTCAAATGTGTTAAGAAGCTACAACCTATATATGACACTGCACTTTCTCAGGTACTTGGTGGCAAACCCATATTTGCATAAAGACAGACACTCAGCTGAAACATATTCTCACAAGCATCAAGAAACAAAAGGACAATGATGCTAACATGGGAACCAACAACAAGCAATGAGCTCAGATATCTACTTTGTGCCCTTGTTTATACCAACAGAACTACCATGGGCATCTACAACTTCATACATGCTAGAGGTGCCTTCAGATGTTCTTCCTATAATGTAATAGATGCCATCATGTGTCAGCAATGCCCCTCTGGGTTCTATATAGGACAAACAGACCAGACTTTACACAAAAATATCAATGGATACAAATTTGACATCAGGACTCAAAACAAGGACAAAGTAATAGCAGAGCATTTTAATCTCCTAGGACATTCCATTACAGATCTCAAAGTAGCACTTTTGGAACAAAAAGACTATGCCAGCACAATTGATCACTAGACAGCTGGGTGTACATCAGTAGGTATGGGGCTATCTCAGAAGGTCTGAACAAACACAGTGGGTTTTTAACATTTTAAAAATACCTCAACAATTATGATTGTAATGTGTCAAAAACCTATCTGTCCCCCTTGAACTTCAACTTTAAAACCACTGTTTCTACTCCCCAACCTCATCCCTATGCATTTAAATCCTACAGTTAAGCCACTCCACACATCTGATGAAGTAAGCTGCAGCTCACAAAAGTTATGCCTTTTATAATAAAAGATGGTAGTCTGAAAATGTGCTATTCTGATTTTTTGCTACCATGGGCTCTCCTTCAGTGTCCAGTTAGAAAAGGAAAAGGCATGGCATTCTTGCTATTTGTGTCCTCTTATCACCGTCATAGGCCCTTGTCCTGCCACCCACCAACTAGAGTCAAAAATTTAAATTTAAAGATTAACAGAATCTTAGAAATCTTTAGATATTGGGGGGGGGACCTAGGCAAACAAATATTTAGGAACCAAAAAGAAATATGTATCTATGAAAAAAAGATATATGGTAATTTTAGGGATAAGATATTCAGATGCTGGGATGTTTTTATACCTATAAAGATCAGAATCATTCAAGCAAGGGTTTTCCCTGTGGCACTCTATGAAAATGAAAATTGGACTTTGAAGAAGCAGGACAGAAAGAATATTAATGCTTTTGAACTTTGGTGTTGAAGAAGACTCCTGAGAATACCACGGACAGCCAAGAAAACAATAAATGGATCATTGAACAAGTCAACCCAAACTTCTCACTTGAGGCACAATTGTCCAGGCTCAAATTAGGCACATCAGACAAAGATCTAGCTCTCTAAAGAAGTATAATGCTAGGAAAGGTGGAAGGAAAAAGAAGAGGACAACCAGCAGCAATGTCGAAGACCTGAAAGACTTGGACAAAATCTATCTACGTGGTCACTAAGGTTTGACACCAACTTGATGGCACATAATAATCAATCAATTTTAGAGATAACAGCTCTCCTTGAGACTTACTGCCTTTCTTTCCTGCTAAATTGTTAGCGCTATCAACATATCTTTGAATGTTGGGAAAAGTAACAGGATGAAATTTGCTCTCCTTGTCAATCCCTATCCTGCCTCTATGGCCTCTCTTTCAAGTCACTAAGAGAGTAACTGGACTGATTTCCCTCCAAGATAATGGGTAACAAAGCCTAACATCTTACATGCCTTGAGGTTACCCTTGGATGGTGTTGGAATAAGGGGGAAAATAATATTTTAATACCAGGGCAGCTAAAGGTGCTGTAAGCCTGGCTCATTCATGGACTATGGATGAGATGAAGGCCACATCACGGGGACACAGCAGAAAACACATGTTGCCAGAGCATGTTTGTGCCTTGATGAGGTGCAAGTTGAGAAAGTCCTTCAAACCATTGCTACAGGAGTGGTCTACAGCTCCTCAAGGTCTCAGAAAGAGGTCTCACCCTTCTTCCCCAGATATGCTTCATATATGCAAAGCATGTGGGCTAGCAATTACAGCCATCTTTACTTCCTCTCTTTTTTTAACTGACAGCTGTTCTTCCTTGCTTTATAGATATGCTCATTTATGAAAATAACAAGGACGAGGTGAAATCTGATTTCTACAGTGGGAAATCAGGTACTGGGAAGTGTATGGGGATCTTGGTGGAATGGGGACTGCAGGTGTCATGGTAAGATACTGGCATAATATTCTTAACTATTGCTTTCTTATGTCCCACAGCTGACTCATGGTATTCCAACAAAACCCAGCAGGTTCTTGAGAATATGACCCAAGACCAAGACCCTATTGCTGAAGGTAGTGTCTGGATTTGGATGTGGAAGTTGAAAAGAGAGACATATCATTATTGATATAGATCAGTGTTTCTCAACCTTGACAACTTTAAGATGCTGACTGGGGAATTCTGGGAGTTGAAGTCCACACATCTTAAAGTTGCCAAGGTTGAGAAACACTGATATAGATGAAAAGCAACTGGATTTCTGAAACTGGTATTCTTCATGTGTTGAAACATATCTTTATGCCCCCCAGGCCTCTTAGCTAAGGATAATGTGAGGTGTAGTTCACAGCAACACCATGTAGTTGGGAACAGCTGGAAGTACACATAGCATTGTCATACTATGGATATTGTTTTTTCCCCCTCCTGATCCAACATGCCTATTCTTGTTTTTTATTCTAACCTAGACTGTTTTCAAACAAAGATGTCTGTAATTCTGAAATTAACAAATATATTGACTGTACTGATGTCAGAATGGTAAAGATACTTTAGCACTGGAACTGGTTGCAAACCCTTTGTCCCAGAAGCCTTCATAACATTAGCAACTGTGGCAGTGGCAGACTTTAAAGCATCAAGTTACTGCAGGAACATTATTTTCCTTCCTTTCCCCTCTTATGGCTTTATGAGAACTTTAAGAGTATTACTCATAACAAAAACTGACTCCATAAGATGCTGATGTCACCCAGTTCTTTAGTCCTGATGCTGCTGGTAATAACCTTCTATATTTACTCAACAGACAATGAAAACTATATAAACTTGGAAGAAGAGTGTCCTATGAACTCTGGTACAGCACGACTCATAGCAGGTACTAAATAGAGACTAAATGAAAACCAAGTCCAGAATTTGGTATCTCCAAATGCATGACATTTCTCCATCTTTCTTCATCAGCAAAAGCCAACCTGTTCCTAGAAGGCATATTTATTATTACTATTAATACTATTACTGCCTAATTTTTACCTGGCCATTCCTCCCAAGAGCTTAAAGAACATTAGCTATTGCCCTCCACTCATACACCTCCACCACCACTCTGCAAGATAGATTAGAGTGAGAAATAGTGACTAGACCGGTGTTTCTCAACCTTGGCAACTTTAAGTTATGTAGACTTTGACTCCCAGAATTCCCCAGCCAGTTATGCTGGCTGGGGAATTCTGGGAGTTGAAGTCCACACATCTTAAAGTTGCCAAGGTTGAGAAACACTGGCGTAAACCATAAGAGTGCGCTTTTAGGGATGAGTAGGGAATTGAATCCTAGAGTACCAATCTCAATCCATATATAATGCCACCCTAGATCTATCATACCACTCAATCTATAGTGCCACACTAGAAATAGAAAATAAATGGGCAAATAGGAGAAAAAAGTAAAAACAAGTGCTCTTGAGGCCTTAAAAGCACCTATTTTATTTCACATTTATGCAAAGAAATTCATATCACCAAATCAGGGCAGTCTGAAGTTGGGGATTTCTTAGACCTGTAAAATGAGACTGGAGGCCCAATTGGTAAGCTGGAATCACCCTGACACAGTGATTCCAAGTGGGGTTTTGTCAATATTAAATACACAAAATATAATGACTAGAAGCCGTGCCTACTAGTTAAATATTAAATCCCATATAAGAGACACTCTATTTATGCCAGTTCTGGGGAACACAACTAGGTATGTGGCATTTTCTTTATACCTCATTTGTGGGAATCTTGGATGCTCTGGGCTGCTCAGTGTAAAGACTATTAGACAGGAAGGCTCTGTTTTAAGATTTTGTATTTGTATGATATTTCTGTGGATGCAGTATAAAATGCTATCTGTCTCTGCTTCCAGGTTTACGCTTACAGCTGGCTTTGGACCCCCCTATAGACAGGCAGGATGGGGGCAGTGAACCTTCTACAGGTAAGCAAAAAAGAGAATCTTACTGAACCACAAAAATCTTCAAATTTATTCTGGTCCTCTTCTCAAGCCTACCAGACTGATGTATAGCATTGCTATCTTTTTATTTTTAAAACTTCCCTCCTACATGTATAACTTGAAATGCATAAAAAATACATATGTATTTTTAAAGCTTCTACTGGAAAAACAAAACAAATCTGAGCATAATGTGTTGGATATACAACATCTGAAGTCCCTCCAGTCTTGCCCTGTTCCCACTATGGACTACCCATAATTTCTAAATGCTGAAATGCACTCCCATCCGCCCCCATGCTTTGAAGCTCTCCATCAGAAATCCTGCGTCTATCCTGAGCTGTCTTAAGCCCTTCTGAGCAGATACTCTACTGCAGTGTTTCTCAACCTTGGCAATTTGAAGACGTGTGGACTTCAACTCCCAGAATTCCCCAGCATGCTGGCCGGGGAATTCTGGGAGTTGAAGTCCACACGTTGCCAAGGCTGAGAAACACTGGTCTACTGTGATTCATTCCAATCTGCTACTCTCACCAGTGACAATTGGCTATGACAGCTGCCAGTTCCCTCCCCTCCCATAGCTGATTGCTGCCCTGTATGGTAATTTCAACCTGGGCTGGTCAGCTGCTATGTTCTCAGCTGATCATCAGTTTCCTTTTTTCTTCTTCCCTTGATCCAGCAACGGCTCATAAAGACTATGGGCTATAAAGGGTCTGTGTTAGTGTCAAAGGAAAGAATGTGGGAAGAGGGTGTGAAGGTATCTACGTGTGCAAAGATCCAAGATAGTACTGTGAAGGGAAGCCATGGGGAGTAGTAAGGAGGGAACAGATCCTAAAAGATGAAGGTGGGCATCTGCCCACACAGGGGCCAATCAGCAAGACTTTCCTTCCCTGCATGGATGGGAAAGCAAGAAGCAGAGGAATGGCCCATTAGCGCCTGTGGTCGCTGTAGTCTGGACTGAGTACCCAGTCAACTCTGTTGCCAAACCACAGCAATCCAGACTGGAGTTTTTGAAGTTGGCTTCAAGGACAGACTGGAAGACAAACAGATTACGCTGCCCTGTAGAACTGCTGATAGCATCAGTAAGTAAGTAAGTTTATTGTTGTCACTATAGGTCACAGCAATGCAATGTCGCATGAAATACAATAAAACCGAATCACAATCAAATAGGATAGTAAAAAGAGTGCTAGTTACAAAGAAGTCAAAACCAGGAAAGGCCAGAGCTACTAAAAAAAAAAAAAAAATTGAGTTTAAATGACAGCAGAGCAAAAGTAGCCAGCTGACTGCTAACAGTCGGAAACAAGTCTGCAAGAAGATATGGTAATTCAACTGTTCAAGGTCCGAGCCCTTGAATTCACCTACCATCAATAATTTGGCCCTAATCTCATTGTGAATGGGGTAGTGGTGAATGTAGTGAATGGTGTCTTCCACTTGATCAGCACTACAGGGACCGAGATGCTGTTCAACAGGATGTTTACAAAATCTCCCTTCAAGATACGATGAAGGCATGGCTGAGGGGCTGGTAATATTAACCAGATAGATCAGTGTTTCTCAACCTTGGCAGCTTGAAGATGTGTGGACTTCGGGGTTGGCAGCTGGCTGGGGAATTCTGGGAGCCGAAGTTCACACATCTTCAAGCTGCCAAGGTTGAGAAACACTGAGATAGATAGTATCAGGAGAAACTAACTTAGCCTTACTTTGAGAAATTCCTGCTTTGTTCATCAGGCTCCCAGTCCTATGAAGAGATGAATGGATCCTTATGTCCCACTGCAAGCAAACTTTTCCACCTACATACCAACACAAGCAATGAAGATGGTGAGTATCAAAACTCCTGGATTCTCTAGGAAGGATGTTCAAGTTGGCTGCAATAGCTTAGAAGAAATTCCAAGGGCTACTTTAATAGAATCTGAGAATGGATTGCTAACAAACAAGTTTGTCCAATTTGTGAAAGTGGTTAAGGCATTAGATCAGAAAAACCCAAGTTCAAGTTGGTCCTCAGCCATAAAAGGTCACTAGTGACTTTAAGCCAATTGTTCACTTTCAACCTAACCTACCTCACAAGGTTGTTGTTCTGGAGGAGGAAGTGCTGTGTATGCCATCTTGGGCTCCTGGAAAACAAGGCAAGATATAAATCCAATAAATAAAATAGTTCTCTTACACCTTCAAACAATTGAAAGCTACTTCCAATAGATGCTGGGAACAAAACCCAAGAATTGTTCCTCCGAACTTTAAGGACATACAGCAAAAAAGGAGGAATGTTTTTCAAAGCTGTAGTATTGCAGTCAATTACAATGAGTGACTTTTTTCTTGAGAGGGCTTCTTCGCTTTTAAAATTGTGTGGCAGATGGAGGAAAACTTTCCGCTTGGCAAATGCAGTAAAACCAACAGCTGCTGAAGAGTGCTTTGAGGTTTTATTGATCTATAATCATAGGATGTTCTCTCCGAGGAGCAGAAAACATTTATATGCAAACAAGCACATTTGTCAAACTGATTACATACTGTATGTCATCTTCCTGGTTACCTTATTTAGGAACAATGGCTGATTTAGGAAAAAACAGGTTTGTCCTTGACTAGACATACTTATTTTTAACTTGCTTCTTTCCACAGGAACTTGACAAAAACAGCAAATATGGAACAAAGAAACTTGTTTCTAATTGCTATATAGCCTATGCTCGTTACGGCTTATTCCCTTCCATGGCAGAATTTTCTTTTCTGCATCTTTCACGATAGCTTCTAGCTTATTCTGTTGTGCACCCTAAATATGGCTTTGGTTATGTCAGCTAACGTTTACTGATTTCAGTCCCGCACAGACATAAACTCAGCAGGCAATGCATTTCCCTTTACTACTCTGACATCCATACCAGACAGTGTAGGAGGAGGACCACGATAGTCAATGGTGGCAAAAAATAAGAAGCACCACTCCCCAAGAGTAATGACTTTTTTTATTTGTTAGTCAGAAAAGGTGCTACCAGAATCCACACCAGAGAAAGCTACAGCTGCTTAATTTCTTATTGGAACTTTCTATACTCTTTTAGTCCAACCCCCAGAAAACCTACTGAAAGTTTTCATGACGCAGAAGCTGTCCCATAATCTATGTGCTTCTCTGTCATTTTCTCCAAGGGGGAAAACTATTTGGATATCTGTTGCAGCATCAGTGATAAACTGGATTATCAGAGAAGGTCTAGTGGAATCTGCACTAACCAAAAGGTTGGAATAGATTACTTCTAAGAGGCAGTTTGGTGTAGTGGTTAAGGCATCAGGCTAAAAAGTGGGTGACTGTGAGTTCTAGTCCTGCCTTAGGCACGAAGCCAGCTGGGTGACCTTGGGCCAGTCACATCCTCAGCCCTAGGAAGGAGGCAATGGCAAACCACTCCTGAAACTTTGCCAAGAAAACTGCAGGGATTTGTCCAGGCAGTCACCAGGAGTCATCACTAACTTGAAGGCACCCCCTCCAAAAAAGCGGGGGTCTTTTCCAACTCAGGGACACTGTAATTCTGTGTGTGACATACTCCTGCTCATGTAGCCAGAAAGGGTTTTCCCCAACCCTCTTGTTCATGTTAAAAGCCTTTGTTTGTCTGAAACAGAGATCTCCTTGGTAGAAGGGAGGACAGCAAGAAGGACTGTACTGAGGCTTGGAAGGGAAGCTGGGCTAATGTTTCTACGGCTCTGATTTAAATTTGGAAATCTTCAGGAAGCACGAGGTTTCTAGGAAATCAGTTGGCTCAAGCAATAGCATTGGTCAAGGGGAATTTACTCTATGTTGGAACAGAGAAAAGTTAGCTCAGAAATGTGCTAGGTTTAATTTATTTCCTGAGGGTATTTTTAAATCTAAAGCTATAGTCTTTGTGATTGTCTCTAGTATGTATGCTGTCTATATGTGTTCAGTAAACTGTCCGTACGCATTTTAAATGCAACTTGAAACATCACGCTTGCTTCCAAGTAACAGCAAACCATAAGAGAATAATTACCATCTTATGATCCACTTGGAAAACCCACCTTCTCTATAGTACTCCAGGGGAGATTCCCCTGAAACATGGTCAGAAAGCTATATTTCTATGTCTTTTACCCCAATTGCATTTTTTTCATGTGACTCTCTAAAGTTAAAAAGGAAAGGGAAAAAAGAAAAAAACGTTTTGTTGTTTTTAATAACGTTGATTTAAGATTGTGCTTTTGATCTAATTCCCAAAGGATCAGCCACATGCCCCAAAGCTACAAGGGCCAGGAGTGGTGCAATTGAATTTATTTCATTGTTAGCATCTTTTCCCCTTTGTAGTAGAAAGCCAGGCCATAGGCTGTGGGGATCCTTACCCATTGGGATTAAGGGAGTGGATGCTAGGGAAAGGCATCCCTTAACCAAATAGGCAGTGGCACTAGTAACTCCAATCAGCTACACAAGTGTTTCTCAACCTTGGCAACTGGAAGACATGTGGACTTCAACTCCCAGAATTTCCCAGCCAGCATGGGGAGGACCAGAATGTATAGAAACTAGCAGACCTTTGAGATGGAAGGGTTGAGACCATCCACCTTTCACCCTATGGGTTCAGCCTTGCCACTCCACATGAAAGTTAGTATAGATCTGAAAGAATTAAAAACAGCTCAGAAGTATTCCAACTCTTTTTTTTTTTTTTGGTTACTGTGTGATGTGCAAGGTTGGGAAACAAGTCCAGTGATCTTATACTGCCAGTATTAGGAGAGAAAAAAATGAATAGTTCTAGACTACTTGGATATCTCTAACCCTTCCCAGTCCCATAAATCCTGTTGTAATAAACTGGGATTGGGAATTCAATTAATCCATAACAAGTTCCTCATTGCAGATGCTGATTCCTATGAGAATATGGAAAGCCCCACGAGCCTCAATTCACGGAGAGAAGGCACCTTGGATCCACATGGAGAAGGTAAGTTGACAGGCGTGGGAAGCTCTGGAGCCAGAAATGTTTCCGTAGGGTCTGTGCATTTTCAAACTTGTTTTTGCATCCACAGAGCTAGAAATTTATCTTTGGCTAGTTAAATAAATAGTTTGGTTTTGGTTGGTTGAAGAAAACATTCAATTTGATGATGAATTCGGTGTCCTATATTATTTCTACATTGCTGCAGATCCCTAGTATGCAAGAAATGCTGCTCATACAGTATTGAGGTCATGGCCCTGGGTTTAATTTCCCCAACTGTGGAGTCCTGGGGTTCTCTGAGCTTGGTTGTTTTCTTGAAAACGTTTCATTACCTGGCTAGGTAACATCTTCAGTGCTAGAAGGGAGTGGGGTTTGCTCTCTGTTTATATACAGTTAGCTTGCCCTGCCAGTGTTGGTGGGGGTGGGATTTAATTTCCCAACATTATCTACACAATCTTCTTTATTTCTTCCACAGGTATTCTCTTTGGTTCCAGGTGGCAACATATCCCTGTTCCTTTTGGGGCTGATCTCAGAGGTGGGCTGCTGTGCTCAGACTAATATTGCCACAGCACAGGACCAAGCTGGGAGCAATTCCTTTCTTTTTGAAATTAAAGGTATTTCTACCCAGAATTCCACTCTGTTGCTCCAGACGATGAGGCATGTTGGATCCCCTCAGAGCAGAGGAATATGTTATATGCCAGTGCTTCTAGAATATGAGAAGAAGGAGCTGGGGGATTAGACTTGTATCTGATCTCCAGCAGCTGGAGCAATGAAGAATTCCAGGAAGCAGAAGGGGGTTTGGCTGGAGACACAACTTTTTCAGGAATCGAAAGTGTTGAGACTATGAAAACATTTCTTTTGTTCCACAATTGCTTCTAAACAAAAGGGCATTTAAAAGAAAACAAAAAGCAGTTTATGGATCCGATGAATCAGCAATGAATTGGCAGGATAATATTACTCAGAGAATCATGCTGTAGAACAACAAACCTCACCTCATCACAGTCACATGCTATCCAGACTGTTGATTTATTAGCTGTTGTGACGAGCATGAAGCTAACCCTCCTTCATTTAAGACAGTGTTGATTGGTGCTCATGGCGATCACAAAACCTCCCTTCATTGCCATACATTAAAGCAGCATTTCAAGTGAAAAGCGTAATATTATAAATGATCCTTTAACAAAGGGATCAGTAAATATTTTGCTAAATAATGTTTCTTTAATTGAAAAAGATATTCAAATGCCATGATGTGTCTATACCTACAAAGATCAGAATTGTGCAAGTCACAGAATTCCCTGTGGCACTCTGTGGAAGTGAAAGTTGGCCTTTGAATAAGCAGGACAGGAAGAGGATTGACGCTTCTGAACATTGGAGAAGACTCCTAAGAATACTAAGAAAACAAACAAACGGGTTATCAAACAAATCAACTAGAGATCTCACTCAAGGCCCAAATGACCAGGCTCAGACTCCTTATGTAAAGACCTAGCTCTCTGAAGAAGGCTCTAATGCCGGGAAAGGTGGAAGGAAAGAGAAGAAGAGGATGACCAGCAGCAAGGTGGATGGACTCAGTTATAGTAGTGATGGGTGCATCACTGGAAGACCTGAAGGATCAGGTTAGGGACTGATCGTCATGGAGAAAATCTACCTATGTGGTAGCTAAGAGTCAACATTGACTCGATGGCACATAAATCAATTTTTTAAAAGGCAAAATCTGGCAGAGATATTGGTAAAGGGTAAGAAGTTACAGTCACTAGATATGCATACCTCAAGAAGAGCAAGAACTTGGAGAGGGGAAGAACATTTTGTGCCCAGCGGGGGGAAAAAAAATTGGTTTCTATAAATGGATGTGTCCCTATCAAAAAAATAATGCATTTGGCTGGGTTGAGACATCATACTGAGCCATAATTTAATGAAGGTCTACAACCATAATGGCCTAATTCATGCTAAGCTATAAATGATAGTTTACACACTATCGTGTCAGGGTTCATATATCAATATGAATATGATATGAATGATATCATATATCATACATCAAAATCAAACATACCACATTATAAACTAGCACAGTGTATGGGCCCTGCTTTGCTGATCTCCTGGTTATATGGAAAAGTTCTGATTGTACTGAGGAAAATAAATGGGGAAAAGTTGTCATGGGTTCTTATTCTTATTTCTCTTCCTGTCATCTGTTTTATCAGATCCTATACCGTGTAAAATAAAATATTCTGTTTTGAACTTGGATTGTCTTCTGCTTCTCAGCACCTTGTGATCACAACAAGCTAGCTTTTAGTTTTCATTTGAATTTGAGCAAGGTAATTGTATTACTACACACAAATGAAGACATTTTTCCTTGAAAACTTCCAATGGCTGTTGCAGGGGCTGCATTTCTAGTCTTCAACAGTTGAAATTAAGGGGAAAGAGGAAGGATCTGCCAGGTGGGAAATACTGCTCCACACCAAAGCATTTGCTGCCTTTCCCCAACTTGATGCCATGTACGGTAGGTGTGTTTGGGAGTTGTAGTCCTGATACATCTGAGGGGCCCTACATTATGAAAATGCAGCACAGTGTGCTTTTTCTATAAAACTTGGATCTTGCCCAAACTTCAACCCTATCAGAATCAACTTTGGCAGACAGGATGAGACTCAGAAAAGTATTCTGAAAAAATGGGATGGTGACTGCTGTTTCATATTATCTAAGTTGCATGAGACATTGCAACGGTGTTTCTCAACCTTGGCAGCTTGAAGATGTGGGGACTTCAACTCCCAGAATTCCCCAGCCATTCCCCAGCCAGCTATGGGGAATTCTGGGAGGTGAAGTCCACACATATTCCCCAGCCAGCTATGGGGAATTCTGGGAGGTGAAGTCCACACATATTCCCCAGCCAGCTATGGGGAATTCTGGGAGGTGAAGTCCACACATATTCCCCAGCCAGCTATGGGGAATTCTGGGAGGTGAAGTCCACACATATTCCCCAGCCAGCTATGGGGAATTCTGGGAGTTGAAGTCCACACATCTTCAAGCTGCCAAGGTTGAGAAACACTGCATTACAACATCTAAAAAAACAGGAGGAATTTAGTCTAAAACTGATTGTAGGAAAGTACAGAAGGCCACAAAGTGCAAATAGAAAAGGCATGTCCTGAGAACAAAAACTTGGCAAATCGCTTAGAAAGGAGAGCAAGGGGAAAATATCCCGGCAGTGCTGCAGAAGACTTTCAGAGGCATTGCTAGAGAAGGGAGGGAAGGCTGCAAGTTGGACAAGGAAACATGTGAGGAGAGATAAGGAGACCGGCTGTGGGATGTTTGAAGATAAACCCAGTGAAGAAACTTCTGTAAAAGGACAGGAAGAAAACCCGCCTCTTTCTCTCCTTAATAACTCATTTAAAAAACAATTCTTAAAAAGATCTGTACGCCATTCAGACAGTCGATTCGGCAATTAAAACTCATCCAACTTTGAACTCGGAGGGGGCTTCTTATTTGAATAAAGATGAAGGAGGCACACAGATACACCCCCCCCACCACATCTGTTTCAACTACGGTTTTCTTCATGTAAATAAAACTGCACTTCCTTTATGTATTTGGTTGATGAACGAAATAAAGTGACTTGATTGCACTTTCATGGTGAACTAGCACTTAAAATTGAAGCAGCCCTAAATATTGGGGGTGCTTTCCCCACCCTTATATTTTATCTGCAGAAACACAAAGAAACCATGGCTCCTGTATTTACAGTTCCCAGAGGAATACAGCATACTTTTGCCTTTTGCATGAAAAAATAGAATCTTAAAGACTTAACAGTGGATTATGATCCCCCAAAGCTTATGGCATCATTTTTGGGCCTTAAGAAACAGCAAGGTTTGCTGCTCTTCTTTTTTCTCAGGAAATCCTCCAGCGCATCTGTCACAGCCTGACGGAGTTGAATCCGCCCTTATGAACAGTTGCTCCAAATGTAGCCCAAACCCGCCAATTTCTTAACATACAAACAGGATGCCAGGCTCAAAAGATTGAAGGGGGAATCTCTCCAGTCTGCAAACTTAAAAGCTATCCGTCCCCAATTCCTCTTTAGCCTATTTTTTGGACTTTCTCGCTTCTTCCCCACCGTTTCTTTCGACCGTTTGGTGCTCAGAAGTTATTTCCAGTTACAGATCCGCTCTTTTTCTCCGCCCCGAGCGCTTACTTTCAATATCAGGTCTCCAAACGGAAGGGAACAGGAAGCATTGCGCAGGGGTACTTTGCAATCTCCGAGCAACGCGAAACTTTACATTGGCCTTTACAAAATGTCAATCTCCTTCGGATACTTCGCGTGCCTGTTGCTGTATCTGCCGTCTGCACGTGAGTCACCACAAACCCGAATCGCACAACCCCCCGCCCCACTGGACTGAGAAAGGTGCCGGTGCTGGAAAACGCTGGCTGGGAGCTGAGCGAAGCGAGGGACGGGAGGGGGGCGATGTTGTATCTGGGGGACGGGGCGGCGGGTCTTTCGCTTTCTAGCCCCCTCTCGCGTTCTCGGTGGAAAGAACTTTTTCCCGCGGTTATTCTTCAAAGGAAAAAGACGCGGGGGGTACCGTAGGCACTTGCCACAAGACTGGCGTGCAAGCCGCGCAGCGCGCTCCTGCCCACGCGGAGATCAGTGACAGCAACTCACCCGCCTTTGTGTCTAGGAGGAGGTGTTTAAGGGGGCAAAAAAAGGGCCCTTTCCAGACCCCCGCGGCTGCTGTCCCGTCTCATAACCATTTCCACATTTGTCCTTAGAGTGGTGTTTTTCAAAATTGGCAACTTGGAGATGTGTGGACTAAAACTCCCAGAATTCCCCAAACAGCTGGAGACTGGCTGGACAATTGATTTTGGTGCTCCCTGATTGGTCAGCTGACCCTAGTTCACACAACATCTGTGGGGAGAATAATCCCAGGTGGTCACAAGACTGACTTCAGGGAGTTGGGAACTGAGGATGGTGGCTTGCTGGCTGGGGAATTGTGGGAGTTGAAATCCACACATCTTAAAGTTCCCAGGTTTGAAAAACAATGCCATAGAGGCTGAGGTTGGATAGTACACTTGGGGTTCAGGGATGTCCACTGCTGCTGTTATACTGTGCCCGCTTGCTCCTGCTCCAGTTGTGGCTGGCTTGCTGCATGTCTGAATGAATAGGAATTACAACTGGGTGGAAAAGGAGGCAAAGACAGGGTCAGAGCAGGGCTGTTGCTCTGGTGAAAGGCTGCTTTCTTTAACAACTTCACTGATGGATCAGAAAAGTGAAAATGGGAGGACTTCCAGGCGAGACATGGCAAACTGAAGACATCTCCCTGAAAGCAGAGCTGATGACCACAGCAAAGGCCAAAGAACCGATGAATAGACTGGTTCTTTGGAACCCCTCCAGATAAGGAGAGGATGGGAGATCACCACATGTACTCTGGATGGCTGCTGCTCATGAGGAGACTGTAGGACAGTGGTCTTCCGTGAAATTGAGCTCCTGGAGATGATGGGATTAGCCATCTTGTTCGCAACCATGACAGAGCCTTTTAAAGGACACTAAGTTTGAAAAACTCACTTTCTAATCACTTTCAGAAATTGTGTATTAACCATCTTAAAGCTATTACAGACTTTCGAAACAAGTTTGGAAAGTCGTTGGGTGAGTTTAGTTTCAACTCTGACAAAAAAAATTGGCTGGTGTGGGTCTTCCGGGCTGTATGGCCGTGTTCTGGAAGTTTTGTTTCCTAACGTTTCGCCAGCATCTGTGACCGG